GCGAGAAGTGGAAGGACGACGGGGGGGGGGGGGTGGCAGCAACAGAAGGGGGAGAGAAACGTCAGCGACGTCACGCGAACGTCGTCGAGCCGGGGTGGCATCGCGCCACCCCGAACGCGTTCGTGCTCGTCGACGACGTGGCGGGATTAGTTCATTACCCGTGCGTTATACTAATCGTGTTTACGCTTCGCCTGATCGATGTGCGGTGAGCGGAGGGTGATTATCCGTCGCTGAGTAGCTCGCTACGATGAGACACGATGACGCGTGAGGAATCACGAACTAGCGAAGTCGAGAAGCGTGGCGCGGATAAAATACTATTCTATAATAACATCGGGGATTTGGGCCGATATTAAAAGTTCCAAAACCCTTGAAGAGAGAGAGAGAGAGAGAGAAAGAGAGGAAATATTATTCAGTGGAAAAATATCAGCTAATATTAAAAGAGTAGTTTAACATGATTATTCGCAATTATTTCCAAACGTTACGATAAATATGACTCCTATGTATAATTAGCATGATTCATTGCGAGATGATGGAAAATAATGGAAACTTTCCGGAATAACTTCAGAAGTCTGGCATATTCATTAAGAAGTCAGAGGAAATAGAACTGCGTGACGAAAACCTATAAATCGTTCATGTAATTGCGCGCAACGCGCTGCGCGGTCTGTTATTACCGAAGACTGATAACGATAATGTTCGCACAAACCATGTGCCGTATGCCTTGACTACAGCTTCTGAGTATAAACGTCATGCCAATTTCGTCTACATCATTTCGTATAAGAAAAACGAAATGTATGATCTAATGCTCGAGTATTATACTAAAGCGTTGAATATATAATTGTCGTAAAGTATCTTCTATTTCGAGATATTTAAGACGTCGTAAGCGGGTCAGGTCAGACCGTATATATTTAGAATATTCAAAGTATTTTATAAAGCTAACATCTATAAGTAACTAAAAATGATTAGATTAATAAATCAAAAATTTTTTACATCAAATATAAATAACAAATTATTATCCAAATCAGTCCTCAAACTGATTATTTTGTGAAAATTTTGCAAACTATATTTGCAATAAAATAAATATTAAAAAATGTGAATTATATGATACCTATATATCACCAACAAATATTTTTGAATACTACAAAAATATTTCAATGGAAATTAGTTTGTTAGAGAATTGCAGAAAATGATAAAAGCTCATTTATATTAAAAATTATAAAAAAAAAACAGGTCAATCAAATAAATAGATTTCGTAAGAAACAATTTCATTATGTATCGAATTCAAAACGTTGCTGTAAAAAATTAACTAAAGGCTAATGGCTCGCTAATAGACATGTATTGCACAATTCTCGGTCAATGTTTTCCCATCCGAAAGAAACCCGGACAATATCCCAACGCTATTTCTATCTTATCTTCCTGCCGGGCGACGTTCCGGACGGTTGTTAGATACGAACAGTTTCCACGGAAGAGCATTAGCGGCGTTATTAGCGCTAGTTAGAGGATACGCTTTGGTGAGAGATGAGAGCGGTGTATAATTATCCGTGCCTCTTCCCCTACTTGGCTCAACAGACGAGGACGACGTGTTTATGTGGCGCCGACTGAAGGAGTCTGGCAAGAGTGTCTTGTATTATCTGTGACATCAGAGCGCAGCCCGACGACGACGAGCCGTTGAAGGAGGGTAGCGAAATGAGTAACAAGTAATCCAGCATTTCTTACGCGTAGCAGCTGCTCACAAGAAATTACAAATTCGACGATATTTACGCATTACAATGTGAATTTATTACGATATTATTATGTTCACGTATCCGATGCATCCTGCTAAAAAATGTACATCAATCTACGTTAAAGATAATATATACACACTTTCTTCAACAACTCGTCGTCGTCAAGCCGGTCTGATGACACAGATTTTTTAAAATAAAGACATAAATCTGTCATTTCATTGTACGTGTATATTTTTTTTATTGAAATGTCGCAAATGTGAAATGTCACATATATGCCTTCATTTAAAACAACTTATATTATATATGCTGCATGCTTAATTTATATGAGATATTTCATATAATTTAGCATATTTCAGGCTCAATTAAAACTTTTAATTGATTGTTACTAATTGCTTTTTTTGGCATAATCACGTATAATTAATTTTGGAAATTCATGGCTCTCGATCAAAATTTTTCAAACCGTGTTCTTTTAATATCAATTTATGATGTAAATTGATGCTTCGATTATTATCGCTACGTCATGTTCTATATTCACATACTGGCTGTATCTTTTCCAAATTCCATGTTAATATTATGCAAGTAGTCTTCTCTTAGAGCGTTTAATTAAAGTGCCGAATTAAATCAGGTTACACGATAATGTAGGATTCAATAATCAATACGAATTACGTAAATCACCTCTCCTACGTGGCACATGCAACACACAATATCATGGTACACACAACATACTCCTATAATTTTGCGAATAGTAATGAGAGGAATTGACACTCGAATTTCCATGAAACAATTGATATGCATTTCGATGCATCGCTAACGCATCCGTATCCGCCAACGTACACCACTGCCATTACCACTTCAATCCATTTTAGTCGAATTCATTAATCGTTACAATATGCATTAGACCTCGTGCCGTGCAAGCGTTTTAAACGTTTTCGCATTAAATTTATTTCAGTATTAAATTTCATGCACGTGTCGCGAATATAAAAAGCCATTTCAATGCGTTCACTGTAGATAGAATGTTTTACATTTACAAAGGGCTGAATCGCTGATAAATATGTGAGCAATTTTTTTTTTTTTCCAATGTAAGCTGACGCGTGCGCAATTTAAATTTTGAAGAACCTTTAAAAGAGATACGAGACAATCTAGTTCATCATCTTTCATCTTTTATTCTTCGTAAAAATGTGTAACTGTGTTGATTGTACATGTAAAGTTTGCCGAAACATCTTGTTCGAGCGTTTTGTTAAATGACAGAATTTGAAAAATAGCTCCAGTCAGGTAAAATAAAACTTTTAACCTCGAAGTATTATCTCCTCTTTTTTTTTTCACTTTGTCGGGCGATTTCAAAATGTAGGTGTTGACAGATAAGTGTAATTACAATTTATAGTCGCCATAAAGCTATAAATATCTACCTTCGGAAAATACGAGATTTGTACAGATTTGTTACTTAAATTCTCATTGTTAGTCGAAGGTCTTCATTTACCAGGGGCAATCTATCCTTTAGCCATTTAATTTGTGTATAAAAAATTTCTATTTTCCATGAAGTATTCAAAAGATAATTTCTCTTCTCCCGATATTCATAAAAAATTAATAAAATGTTTGAATTTATATTGAATATTAGTAAAGCCGAGCTTTATTCAATACGTATAAATATTTTGCCCAAGATTACAGAATTCGAGCTTTATTTCATATTTCTTATATTCTGATTTCAGTTAGATGCAAAGAAAAGTCCACTCGCGCTGCTCGCACAGACCTGCAGCCAAATAGGAGCGGATCCACCGTCCAACAAATCGCTGCTAAGTTCCTTGGACAAATCGTCGAGTAACAGATCGTCCAAGACCGCGGAGCAATCTCGCGACAAGTCGTCGCCGACGGTGACAGTGTCGGTCACGGTGCCAACGTCGACGATCGAATCCACGAAAACCAGTTTCAAGCCGTACGAATCTTGCCTGGGACGCGAAAAGGCATCCAGCCCGGACGAGCAGCGATCGTCGTCGAGTCACTCGACTTCCGGCCGATCCCGAACACCCGGCAGCGGTGGCAAACGATGCCCTAGCAATCAGAGCGCCGCGTCAACGCGTGCAGTCACGCCGCAAGGTAGAAAAACGGCGACGCCGAACGGGGAAGTCACGCGGGACTCGCCGGTTTCGAGAAATTCGGCGCCCTTGATACCGTCGAGCACAGCGGAGGCCGCTACGAGTCAACCAACCGTCAGTAGCCCCTCGTTACAAACGAAACCCGCCTACAGTCCCGCCGGCGTCCTCGCGATGACCGATCCATCCATCAAGGATCTCCCATTGGGCACGTTCAAGCCGGGCGTCAGTCTACCGGTTTCCACCGCCGCCTACTTGGGTTACAGTCCCAATCAATTACCCATCGACGTGATGGCCAGCTCGCTCATGTCTCAGCATCACGCCGCTCTGAAGAACGGTCTCGTAGCCGCTAATCCTTATCTCGGTTATACGCGACTGAAAACGGGCGGACCCGCGGACAGCCTGATGCCAATATGCCGCGATCCCTACTGCACCGGCTGCCAACTGAATTCGCATCTACTGTCGAACTCCGTGGCGACCACCGTCGCCAGTATCGTCAATGGAAAATTGCCATCGGGCGCGGGCGCTACGCCGGGTTCCTGTTCGGCCGGATGCGCCCAGTGCGATCACAAACCCGGCACCGTCTCGCCTTATGGACCGCTCGGCGCGGCAGGAGCGGTATACGCGCACGCGCAGCTAGCCGCATTGGCCGCCGGCACGCAGCTACCTTACGTATGTAACTGGATCGCGGGCGACACTGCGTACTGCGGCAAGAGATTCGGCACGTCGGAGGAGCTGCTGCAGCATCTCAGGAGTCACACGAGCATGTCGTCGAGCGGCGCGACCGATCCCGCGAGCGCGGCCGCCGCGCTGTCCCTGCTATCGCCACCCATCGGATTACCCCCGACCCATCCCCTGTTCGCCAGGTCTTATCCCACGCCACCCTTGAGCCCGCTCGCCACCGCGCGCTATCACCCGTACGGGAAACCCTCGCCGCTGTTACAGCCGTCTTTGTCGTCGTTGGGCCTGCCGCTTCCGCCGCCACCGCCGCCGCATCCGCACGCGACCGCCGGACTGCCGCCGTATTTCTCACCGTACTCTATCTACGGGCCTCGTCTAGGCGCCGCCTCCGGGATGCATCAATGAGTTCTCGGTAACAAGCACTCGTGAGCCAAACGCTTGCGAGGTGAGTTGACCGGCGAACTGTGATTTCTCGACGAATTCGAGCACGTAAACGGAGAGTATCGCGTGTGCTTGACGTGATGCTTGTATGTATTTACGGAGCCTCGTAAGGAGGAAGGTCTGAAGTTATCGAGCGGATATCGAGGCGCGGTAGGATTGTTTCTTTTTTATTTTTTATTTTTTTTTGTTTTTTCGATTACTACGCGATGGTCTGCGTCTTCTGCAAATTGTACGCTAAGCCTTTTTTTTACCTTGCGATTGAAAAAGCATAAAACTTAAAAGATTGAATAATGTGTGCACACGAAACGACATCTTCTACTTGTTCTTAGGCGCGAATAGTTAGTGTTTCCATGTTAACGCAGCCGGAATTTTGATATATATTTCGTAGATAGTATAAACTTTTTAATAAATATTAAGTTTTGAGAATATATAGAATTCTCAATAAATATTCACTTAAAAGTCCCACTTTGCAGGAACTGTTTCTTTTGATGGAAAGTAAGTTGTTCTATTCAATCTTTCGAGGTCAAAGAAATAAAATAATATGGCTGCGTATCCCTACCTCAGCTCTCTTTACAGGAATAATAATCTATTTTTGTCAAAACTGAATTGCATTCGAACTGCATTTAGGATGATTAATTCTCGCTCAGCAGCGTCCGGCGTAATAATATATGAATACGGACAGCGGTTGCTTGTATTGGCTATCATTAATTTCACTTGACAAGAATCAGGATCAAATAGGAATTAAATATCTTTTTGAATTCTTTAAAAGATTTTTATAAAATTTTAGCGTTCTTTGTAAAGATTATAAAAACTAGAGAGAGAGAGAGATCTTCCACATTCTATACCTGTTCGGGTATCTTTTTATTGCGGATATTTTTATAACGCCTGAATGGACGCTAGCGTTTATTAGATCTCAAGCGTAAGAGAGTGCATCGTCGTCAATGCACGAACAAAGGCTGCGTTTAAGTGCATAAGATGGTTATACTTCTTCACGCTCTACTTACTGGTATATTATATTGTTCGATACTGTATTGCTTTACGCACTAGGATTCGATATGTTGAAATACGTTAGCTTGTACGCGATAAGTTATTTTTATTACTCTTTTTCTCCCTCTTCTTTTGAACTGACTTTATTCGAATCAACCAAGGAAGGATCATTTACTAAAGAAAAACTGATATTAACTTTGTCAAAAACGTTTTTCTCTTTTTTTTTCTCTTCCTTTAAATTAGTTTTATTCGAGTGAACGAAGGATTTTTTAAAGAAAAACTGATACTAACTTCATCAAAGACATATATAGTTAAAATTAAGCTACGTCAAATATAACACGTGTATATTATCCGAAACCAATAAAAAAATGAAATTCACCCACGTATAACCTATCGGATATATGGACCGAAAATTTAAAATTTGAATTTTAAGAAACGTATAATTTATTTTCTCACGTGCCCCAGTATTTTATTCTTACGCCAGTGTACCTGGAAACGCTAGGCGCGCAATTTCCTAAGAAGCAACAATCCGTTAAGAGCAATTTAACGATTAGAAATTCAACAATCTCATATACGGTAGATCTTATCATTTCGCACAATCGCGCGCCGCGTATCGTGAGATGGTGCAGGTGGCATCCATACCTCTTTAACAACGCCACGATGTCGGCGAGAACGTTGGAGAGGTAACAGTACGAACTAGTGGTATATACGAGAACTCCCTGAGCGGTGTGCAGGGTCGTGGTGGGAGTCGCGAGAGGGCACCCAGCGCCAGTTGACACGTCGTTGGCCGGGTCGCTCGCACCCGGCAAAAGTGTCGGCGTAGCGCGAACCGACAACGACCACCGTGTCGCTACGTCGGCCGCCGCCGTCGCCGTCACCTTTGCGTTCGCCTCTTTCGCCCGCATTGGTTAGTCGCTGCCGCTCGTGGTGTTTCGTGTCGTTCCGCGCGTCGTAGTCGCGATACACCGTCCGGTACCGAGGAGGGGGCATCTCCACGATGTTGTCGCGGAGGCGCGCAAGGAAGGGGAAGATGCTCCCCGGGGGAGCGCGAATCTGCGGTGTACGGTAGGGGAAGTCAGCTGAACGCGGCGGAATGGTGAGGGTTTGAGCGACGAGAAGGGCAACCGCGCTCCACGTCGACTGCGGCGAGAGATTCAGTTGCGAGTCGAGCCTCATCGCGTCGACTTGTACCAATTACATACGTCCGTACGGTTGTTCGTAACGCGACTCGTTTTCTTTTTTTCTTTTTTTGTCGCGTACCAAAGAGAGCGGATGTACTCGTTGTCGCGGTGTGCCCCGACGACCTCTTCGTTATCTGGTGTGCTCGTCTCAGAGAGCGTGTATCGCGCGCGCGAGTAAGTGCTATTCCTTATCGAAAGTGCAGCCTCATGCATGGCTTCGTTCGCGAGTGATACCACTGTTTCGTTGCTGCGACGGATATAATAAGGGAGAGAAAGAAAAAGTGCGCCGAATTCCCCGGAATTAGTTTCGCCGATGAGCCGAAGAGTGTGGTAGAAAAAAAAAAGTGGTACTTTCGTCGAATACAACCGACGGCGCGAGCGAGGATCGACCGCAAAAGATGCTGACGTCCAGCGCGAATCAGTATCTCCGTCCTGAATACCTCACGCCGCTACCTACTACGGTTAGTCTACCGCTTTTCTCTTCTCTTCCTACGTCGCTATTTACGGGGAGTCCATTATTTATATCCTCCATTCCTGTTTACGTCTCGAGTTAACGATTTGTCGAGACTCGCGATCTTTCAACGTTTAAAGTCTTATTTAATGACCGATATTTCTTAGCAGCTGCCGTTTATACATTTTAACGTGCTGCAAAATTATAAAGGCACTAAAAGAATGTTCTTTTTATTCGTTTAAGTATTTCGAAAAAAATAATGTAATAAAAGTAAAATATTTATTTTATATATCAAAGCGAAAAAAACTTTTATACATATTTATATAAAGTTTTTATATTATAAAATAATATGGCTGCGTATCCCTACCTCAGCTCTCTTTACAGGAATAATAATCTATTTTTGTCAAAACTGAATTGCATTCGAACTGCATTTAGGATGATTAATTCTCGCTCAGCAGCGTCCGGCGTAATAATATATGAATACGGACAGCGGTTGCTTGTATTGGCTATCATTAATTTCACTTGACAAGAATCAGGATCAAATAGGAATTAAATATCTTTTTGAATTCTTTAAAAGATTTTTATAAAATTTTAGCGTTCTTTGTAAAGATTATAAAAACATGTAATATAAATATTTTATTTATAATTTGAAAACAATTTTATTTTATTTTCCATTTTTTAGTCATTATTTCTTTATTTTTATATCAGTTTTAATTTTATTAATATTTGACGATGCAAAAAAACTATTTTTTGAGATAATAAGATTAAGATATAAATAATGACAGTTAAAATGAGAGTTTTTGAAATAGATATTTTATAGAAATATCTATTTCTACGAAATCTCTATCTCTCTATTAAAAAGAAATTTTATATATACAACACACACACACACGCATATACATGGTTGCAATATGAGACATATCATTTGTCTCTGACAGCTTTGACAATGCGATGTATACATTGCGTTTTAACATTAATATCTTCTGAGACTTTAACATTATTATTATTATTATAATATTCAATACATAATTTATTCATGTATATATAAAAAGATAAAAAGCGATTTCAATAACAATGTAGACAGAATAAAATCAATATCGAGAATAAGATTGATTAGAAGATACTTTCATTTTTTGTTACTATGCGAAGTACCATGTCTAAGCACGCGTGTTTCGAGCAATTCGATTAATCTCTTTAAAAATTTCTTATTTAAAAACTATTATATTCCGAATATTTTGATATTAGAATATTAAAAATCTTATAGAAGATATTGATATTAAAACGCGATATACATCGCATTGTCAAAAACTGGCAAAGATAAATGACATGTCTCAAATTGCAACTATGTATATGTGTGTGTGTATATATCGTGCGTATAAGATTTGTTTTTAATAGATGGATTTTATAGAAATTCTATAAAATATCTATTTTCAAAAACTCTTTCATTACATATATATGATATGTATATATATGCCATATGTAAAATTTCTTATATTTATATTATATTATGTATTGGTTTCGAATAACAAAGCTGTACCGTATTTTCTGCTGTTGCGGACGTCCTGCTGTTCAAGGCATTAAACATCCCTAGTGCATTATTCGCCGAGAGCTATCAGCTGCTTTCGTCTGCTCCACGGCACTATCTCTCTCAAACTCGTAATTTTTTTATATTTATTATTCTAGTTGACTATACTCAATTAGAATCACAATATTGCGATATATTGAGGCAAGAGAGTTTTTATTGTCTTAGAACTCGTAATTTCCATACCAAGTTGAGCATAGAGACAACATCCGCAACGCGCGGAGAGGAATCCAATAATTCGTTAATTTGTGTCTAATTATAAACTTACACAATTATCAACCAGTTTCTTCAAATAAGAGAATGAATCGCGCGTCAATTTTAAACAGAAACGATAAATTTATTATGATGGAGAATTAAGAGGCAGTGTACGTCAGGCTGTACTTTTGGATATGTGCAATCGAACACATTGCTGTTAAATCAGTTAAACTTTTTTAGACAACTGGCAAGATTTTAAATTACGATTAAAAATTACGGGACGCGCGAATCAATTTTATTACTCCATTTTCTCTGTCTATTCTGCTGCGTCCGATGTATCTCTCAGTATCTAATGACGAGTGCCACACCAAACGTCGAAAAACCAATGTTTAACTGTGATTTTTGAGTGAGAAAGTTGAGAGAGAAAGAGAGGGAGAGAATGCGACGCGATGCGCTTCCACGAAAGAGATTATATGCGAATGTGTGCATGACTAGAATTTGTTAACGAACGCGCAATTACGGGGATTTTATTTTGAATGAAAATAATTTCAATTGAATAGACAAATACTTTGTTAGAGACGTTTATTTGATCGCTCGACGGTCAATATAAAAATTATTTGCTATATGCTACACGCAAACCACTGCGATGATTTTATGTTGTTAAAAAAAAACTGGTTTTATGACAGCGTTAAAATAAAACGTTTCTCTCGTTTATGCTAAAAGAAGAATGAATTAAAATACATTCCGTGTATTTTACAACGCGTAATGAAATAATTTATATTGTTATTTGTGTTATTATATTGCGAGCAGTCAATCTTTTCAAACTGAAAATTTGGATTACAGTCGAAATATCTAGATAGAATAAATCCGACATCGATCTTTTAATACAATTTTTTAAGCAAATATTTTCTTTTTAATGAAACAATACAATAGTAATAGTTCTCTTCTTATTTTTACAAAAATATGATTAATACAATTAATAAGATGATTAATTATTTCAGACGTATAATGTGTATAGTTCTAAATTGAAAGAGTTATTTACTTTTATATACACGATGCGGCAATTTTTTTCCATCACTTTCGACTGAAGCATTCTCCGTTTTTGCGGCTATGAAAAATAATTAATATAATGTAATCACTATATATGTACTATTTATAATATCCACATGTCCTACTTCCCTTGTAATTATTGTACATTTGTTTATAGGCGTATAACTCTAACAAATCTAATGAGATGGCAAATAGTACGGATATACATATATACATATACGTATATATATAAATATATATAAATATATATCTGCGTCTATTTTTGCGTAACCAAAGTTTTAGTAACTATCGATATTACGTAGCGCATCGAACTTTGTGTGTACATGACATTATAAGATGAAGTGCAGCAGG